GGGTGCACATATATTTACGAGCCCTTAAGCATTATGTAGTGTCCTTCTTTGTCTCCTGTAACAGTCTTTATTTTAAAATTTATTTTGTTTGATGTAAGTATTGCTACTCCAGCTTTCCTTTGGTTTCCATTTGCATGGAATATGCTTTTCCATCCCCTTTGAGACTGCATGTGTCTGTAGCTCTGAATTGGGTCTCTTGTAGGCAGCATATATATGGGTCTTGTTTTTGTAGCCCTTGAGCCCATTTGTGTCTTTTGGTTGGAGCATTTAATCCATTTACATTTAAGGTAATTATTGATATGTATGTTCTTATTGCCATTTTGTTGTTTTGGGTTTGTTTTTGTAGGTCTTTTTTCCTCTTCTCTTGTGGTTTGATGACTAGAGAAGTTCCTTAACATTTGTTGTAAAGCTGGTTTGGTGGTGCTGAATTCTTTTAGCTTTTGTTTATCTGTGAAGCTTTTGATTTCTCCATCAAATCTGAATGAGAGCCTTGCTGGATAAAGTATTCTTGGTTGTTATATCGTGCCAGTCCCTTCTGGCCTGTAGAGTTTCTGCTGAAAAATCAGCTAATAACATACAAAGCAACACCCATAAATTTATTTGTTGCTTTTCTCTTGCTAATTTTAATATTTTTCTCCTTATCCTTAATTCTCGTCAATTTGATAACTATCTACCTTGGTGTGTTCTTCTTTGGGTTGATCCTGTGTGGAACTCTGCACTTCCTGGACTTGGGTGACTGTTTCCTTTCCCAAGTTAGGGAAGTTTTCAGTTATCTCTTCAGAATTTTTTTCAGGTCCTCTCTTCTCTTTCCAGGACCCCTATAATGCAAATATTAGTGTACTTCATGCTGTCCCAGAGTTCTCTTTAACTCCTCATTTTTTTTTTCACTTTTTCTTTTTCCTGTTCTGCAGCAGTGATTTCCACTGATCTGTCTTATAGCTGATTGACCCGTTCTTCTGCCTTATTTAGTCTATTCTTGGTTCCTTCTAGTGTGTTACTCATTTCAGTAATTTTATTCTTCAGTCTGTTTGGGTCTTTATATTTTCCAGCTCTTTGCTAAAAACCTCACTCTGTGCATCTATACTCAAGTTCTCTGAACATCTTTGCCATCTTTACTTTAAACTCTTTGCCAGATAAATTTCCTAGCTCCTCAGCACTTATTTCTTCTGGGATTTTGTCTTGTGCCTTGGCTTGGAAGATATTCTGCTGCTGCCTCATATTATCTATCTTTCTATTTGTATTTTTAGGTAGGTAAGTTAGGTTTCTCAACCTTGGAGAGCTGGCCCTCTGTGGGAGATGCCCTATGCATCCCAGCAGTGCACTCCTCTCTTGTCACCCAAGGGCCAGGGTCCAGCCAGTCCCAGCGTAGAGTCTGGCCTGGCCATTCCTTCCATTGGCTTAGAGATTGTTGTTTTCCTATTTCTGGGACCTGCTGGATGAGGCTGTACTAGAGGCTTATGCAGGTCTCCTGGCGGGAGGAGTCAGTGCCAGCCCGCTGCTGGGTGAAGCTTGGTTCTGGACCTCTGGTGGGTAGGGCTGTGTCTAGAGGCATTTGTGGCTCAGGAAGTCTGCTGATGGGTGGGGCTGTGTTCCCACCCAGTATGTTGTTTGGCCTGAGGCTTCCAGCCCTTAAGCCTGCAGGCTGTTGGGTGGGGCTAGGTCTTTGCACTAATAATCCAATCAAGATGTCAGCCTCCAGGAAAGCTCATGTAGCTAGATGAACACTCCTGTTTCTGCCACCAGTTTTTATGTCCCCAAGGTGAGCTGCAGCCACCCCCTACCTCCCCAGGAGACCTTCCAAAACCAGCAGGCAGGTCTGGCCCAGGTTCCTATGAAATCACTGCCTCTGCCCTTGGACCTGGCGCTTGATTTCCATGTATGCTTCCCAAGAGAGTGAAGTCTGTTTCCCCTAGTCCTGTGGGGCTCCTGGAGGTAAGCCCCACCAGCCTTCAAAACCAGATGTCCTGGGAGCTCCTCCTCCCCATGCTGGAACCCCAGGCTGGGGAGCCTGACGTGGGGCTCAGAGCTCTCAGTCCTGTGGGAGGGCCTCTGCGACTTACGTATTCTTCAGGTTGTGGGTCACCCACCCCAGGGGTATGGGGCCCAATTATATAGCGAGCATGCCCCTCCTATTATGGTTCCCTCTTTTTTTTCTAGTTGAAGAGGATTTTTTTGCTAGGTTCCAGTCTTTTTTTTCAGTGGTGGTTTAGCAGTCAGTTGTGGTTTTGTTGCAGTCTCAAGGAGAGGTGAATTTGGGGACTACTCTGCCATCTTGACTGGAAGTCTCTGCAGAACCATTTCTCACACTAAAGTCTCAGTGTGAGCCTTGGTCAAGTCACTTGGTCCTTAGAGTCTTGGTTTCCTCACCCATAAAATGGAAATATCTACTTTGCTCACCTCAAAAGTTTCTGAGATAGTAAGTCTATGTGGTACTTACTTACATTCTCTGTTGAAGTTCTCACTGTGTTCATCCACTCTTCTCTCAAGTTTTGTGAGCATATTTAAGACCATTATTTTGAACTTTTTTTTTTGGTAAATTACTTACGTCTGTTTCATTAACATTTTCTTCTGAACTTTTAGTCTTCTATTTGGAACATATTCTTCTATTTCTTCGTTTTGATGGCTTGTGTTGGTTTCTGTGCATGGGATGGAACAGCTACCTCTCTCAGTCTAGAAGGATTGGTCTTGTGTAGGAGATGTACCTTGTCATTCAGCCCTACCCCAGCTTTTGGTTATCTTGTCAACCTTTGCAATTGTCCAAGCAGCCTATTTTATTTTTAATAGCTCCCAGTAGTTGTGTGTGTGCTGAGATCAGCTAATGTCCCAAAGAAGAGGATCTCAGCACCTAGATTCAGGTTGACTGGAAGGCAGACCCTCTGGCAGCAACTTTTAAAGAATGCAAATATATACAGCCCTGCAGAGCAGTGAGCATAGGCCCCACTAGCCACTAGAGCCAGGTGATCTGGTGGTGTCCCCTGGGCAGCAGTCACAAAAGCTGGGGCTCCCATCATGCATTACTCATCTAACTAAAATCATCGATTCATAGTCCTACAGAGTTAGATTTAAAAATATATCCCCAGCCATATTACTAAGTAAAAATGCAAATTGAAATACAGCATAGTACATACCTTTTCTCCGTGGACACACACAGAAGTGCATAGACACAGACCTGGAAGGAGGCACCCAAAGTGCTAAGAGTGCTCACCTCCGAGGAGGACCCAGGGTTGGACGTGGTGGGCACGGGGTCTTTGCACCTTATCTGTCTGAGCTTTTTTTTTTTTGTAGTGAAAACATATTCAGTAAATACTTTCGAATTTTTAAAATTTACTTAATTGAGTTTGTAAAATTTACTTGAAGAGAGGTTTTTGAAGTTGAACTGGCAAATGGCAGTACTTTTGATATTTAAGAATAAAAAGATAGTAAAACTTAATTTCCTAAAATGGGCACTGGTGAGCACAGAGAGACAACGGGAAGTCTGGGAACGTGAAAGCGCCCTGCAGCACGGGCCTTAGCCGTCGGCAGCGCTCCTCCCTCTCCCTACACGTCCCTTGTCTGTGGGCGTCATCTTACCAGACCAGCTGCCTTCCGGGTTCTCCTAACAGTCTTAGAAAATCGACGCATACAAACAAGCAGTTATAGAAATGACATAAAATTGCATGTTTTAATGTAAATCTAAAGGGCTTCTTTATCTCCCACTTGGAAGTTTTAGGCACTTCAATTTTTTTAGGCACTTCAATTTTTTTTTTTACTGTTTCTCTAGCATCCAAAGCAGCAGCTCTCAGGGGGTGGATAGGGGCCCAAATCAAAGCAATGCCTGCAAACTCGCATCCCTGCAGGGAGTCCAAGGGAAAGGAGCCCTGGCTCCTGGTGAGACGTGTTGTGTCCCCCATGTGGGACAGCAGATGGGCTAAAGGCATGCACTTCGATGTCCAGCTGTAGGATGACATCATCTGTCCAAAACAAAAGGTAATTCATTGATACAAAACGGCCTCACACACTGCAAGCTATTTTCAAAGTAGTCTCTTCCCCCCTGCAAAAAACACTATCACCGAAACCATTTTGTGGTTAACCGGCTGGCTGTCTTGCTATACAGTACTACAGATTTGATGGCATGGAACCACAATACTTGGTTCAAATCACAATGTTCTACCTTCTAGAAGTGTGAC